GTTATATAAATACGTTATATAAATTATATATATATGTTATATATATGTATATTATTTTCTTTATATATAATTTAGAATATATATATATATTATTTGACAGTAATGGTATAATAGTAAATTAAGTGATAAAGTAATGGCATAATGGTAAATTCAGTGATAAAGTAAGGGTATAATGGTAAATTTGACGAAAAAAAAGTAACACCGTTAGTAGTAAAGTAACGGTGTTAACATCAAAGGGAGAATGTGCAAGCAGATATACAATAGAAGGGGGTTTGACGCAATTTTTAAATTACGAGGGGAAAACGCGCAGATTTAGTATATTACAGGGGGGTTTGGTGCAATTTACCCTAAAATTACTCAACTAAAATCATTCGTTAACTAAAATCATTCGTTACTACGTGCATGGCACGTGCACTTTATTAGTAAAACAAAATATCCCAAACCGAAAATTAATGATTTTTTTTAAAGATCACATTAAATATCAAAGTTCTGACCCGACCCTTCTCAGACCAACCATAACCCGATATCAGACAACATTGATTCTAACCACGTTATATATATACACTATAGGCCATCTAGGCCAAAAAAAAACCCCCTACAACCCCATACAGTTCCCTTTCCCAAAGAAAAAAAAAACAATGGCCACCTTCTTTGATTGCCACGATTACCAAATCGCCCTGGCCTCCCTCGCCGCCTTCTTCCTTCTCCACCTCCTCCGCCTCTCCCGCCGGACCCCCGGCTCCGCCCCGACCCGCTGGCCCGTCATCGGCATGATGCCAACCGTCGTCCGCAATATCAGCCGCATCCACGACTACATCACCCAAGTCCTCAACGAATTCGGCGGCACCTTCACCTTCCGCGGTCCCACCTTCGCCCGCATGGACATGCTCTTCACCTCCGACCCGGCCAACATCCACCACATATTCGTTCGCAAATTCCACAACTACCCAAAAGGCCCCGACTTTCGCGCCATCTTCGACGTCCTCGGCGACGGCATCTTCAGCTCCGACTCCGCCCTCTGGGAGCTCCACCGCCGCGCCACCCTCTCCCTCCTCAACGACGACAAATTCTACGCCCTCCTCGAGAAAACCGTCTGGGACAAGGTCCGGACCGGCCTCGGACCGGTCCTCGACCACTTCTCCCGGTCCGGCACCGAGTTCGACCTTCAAGACGTTCTCCAACGTTTCTCCTTCGACAACATCTGCCGATTCTTCCTCGACCACGACCCGGGCAGCCTCTCCGTCGACCTTCCCGATGTCCCGTGCGAGCGCGCGTTGGGAGACGCGCTCGAGCCCCTCTTTTACCGCCACATCGTTCCGAAGCCCATCTGGAAGCTTCAAAAATGGCTCGTGATCGGGCAAGAGCGCAAGCTAATCGAGTCGTGGAAAGCCTTCGACGACTTCATATACAAACACATCGACACGTCATCGTCCCACGAGGGACTAAACGTGTTTGCGTCGTTCGTGAAGGCGTACAACGAAGGGAGAGAAAAAGGGCTTTGTTCGTCGGGGAATCTTCGGGGATTCCTTCGTGACACGTTTCTCGGGTTGCTTTTCGCGGGTCGGGACAGTTTGAGCGTGAGCTTGACTTGGTTCTTCTGGTTAATATCGAGGAATCCTCAGGTCGAAGAGAAGATTAGAGAAGAGATGGAGGAGATTTTAAAGATTAAAAAGGGGGGAGAGTGGAGATTTTTCGAGATGGAAGAGTGTAAAGGATTGGTTTACCTACACGCGGCGCTTTGCGAGACGTTGAGGCTTTACCCGCCGATAGGGTTGGAGCTGAAGTACGCGGCGGAGGAGGATTTTTTGCCGAGCGGGCACAGGGTGCGCCCGGGGACAAGGGTGGTGGTGTCGTTTTACTCGACGGGGAGGTTGGGGAGCGTGTGGGGGGAGGATTGTGGGGAGTTCCGGCCGGAGAGGTGGCTGGTGGAGCCGGGGAGGGTGAGGAACGAGCCTCCGGCGAGATTTCCGGCATTCAACGTGGGGCCGAGGAGCTGTCCGGGGAAGAAGATGTCGTTCTTGGAGATGAAGATGGTGGCTGCGTTCATGGTGCACCACTTCGACGTGAGAGCGGTGGCCGGGCAGGTGGTGGCGCCGAGGAACGCGATCATGCTGAAGGCGAGGAACGGGCTGAGGGTTAGGCTTACTGGAAAGTACAGGCAGTGAGACGGGCGGGCCGGGTTTTCTTGGGCTCAGGTAGTCTTCGATTGATTGATCTATTGCATGGTTCTAGTATTTATTTAATATTATATATATATAAAAAAAAAATTATTGTGTGTGCATGGTTGGGTTGGATTTGGTGTTCAATTTGATTGGATTATAGTTAATTCTTGGAATGGAATTTGGGAGGTTTTTAAATGTTTAAAAGCATAAAACAGGCGAATTAATGGAGTTTGAATATCAAACACATGTTCTATAGTTTATATTCGGTTTTGTTACAGAGCCATCGGATGACTCGGCTTATGGAGTCATCCACAATTATTCACGAATGATGTATTGACACGTATCCTGTAATAAATGCACATTGGACATGTGTCAGTACATAAAGTTATTAATGGCTCCATAAGGGAGCTATTCGATGGTTCCATAGATTTTCTGAGTTTATATATTGCATAGTTGTTTATTAATTTATTTATTTTTGTGAAGTATAGCAAATTAATTTCCACATGAAAGGAAGTAATTAAGGAGGAAAAGGTGAAAGAAACTGTGGGAAAAAAGTACAGTGTGTAGTTATGATATGTAAATGTATTTGTCAGCTTGGTTGGTCATCGACATTTTCTGAATATTGATATATTTTGATGTAAATTAAATGTGATTGGCTGAGAGTGGTGAAATTTATCTTGCCATGTTTGTGAACTGATATGGCTAGCTATAGATTTCAACTTTATTGTACAAAAATTGTTCATAATTGGGGTAATGTTTTAAATTTGAATTATAAGTTTAGGAAAAAGCTACGGTTCTGTAACGGGAACCATTCCGTCGAGTTTGTAACCATTAGATCATCAGAAAATAGTTGATCTAATAGTTATAAATTCCAACGAAATGGTTTTGTAACATTACCGTAACATCTCCCTATAAAACCACTAAGGGTGGCAGTGAGATGGTTTTTTTTTTTTTTTTTGGTCTAAGGTAGTCTTTGCAAATTTCTAGAAGAAAAAAAACTAATGGGGAAAAGGTAAAAGAAACACTGCAAAAAGTAAGGTGTGTAGTGTTAATTTATTTTTTTATTTTATTTTTTTAAATAATATTAATGATATTTACATGGAGTGTAAAGTAAATGTGACTGGGTGAGACTTTCAGAATTTTTCTTGCCATTTATGTGAACTGTTATGGTGAATTGAATTTTTTTACTAGATTCAACTAGTTTTTATTTAGTTAATCTTTTTAATTATAGTTAATTTTTTTTAAAAAAAAATTAGTATAATTAATTGTTTGTGGATATATTAGAATAATATTTAAGTGAAATAATTAAAGTTGATGTACGACAAGAGAAAAATGATTGAGTAAATTAATGTTTATGTGAGTAGATGAATAGTAAATTAAAATTGATGTGGTGTGTAAAATGATTGGTTAATATTATTTAATTATATTAATAATATTAGATACAGTGGAGTTAAATTAAAATTGAGTTAAATTTTAGTTTTGATTGATATTTTTAGTGTTAAAACAATATCCAATCGACCCCTAAAGTAAGGTGAACTGAATTTTTCAACTTCAGTGTTTGTTTTTATTTTTATTTTAAAAAAAAGGACGAATTCCTAGGAAACTATCAGGCTGACATAGACATGGCCAGGTGCCGGGTTTTGGCCCGGCCCGGCGGGCCACGAGCCAGCCAACCCACGAACCGCAACCGGCCCGCCAAAAAGTAAGGGCTGGTTCACAGAACCGGCCCGAACCGCTGGTTCACCGGCCCGGCGGTTCGGCCCGGGTTCGGCACTTAAAAAAATTAAAGGATTTGGCCCGGCCCGGCCTGACCCGGCGGGACAAAACAAAAAAAACCGTGACCCTTAACCGGACTGGATTGACCGCGGTCCGGTTCTCGAACCCGGCACTATTCATGCCGGTACCGGTACCGGGCCGGGCCACGGGCCGGGCCGCCCGTGGCCATGTCTAGGCTGACAAATACATTATATACCAATAACTACACACTGTACTTTCTTTGAATAATTAAAAATATTAATCAAGATTTCCTTATTGTTAAGATGTTATTTTCCTAACGCTTTAGAATTTAACAATCTTCTGAAAACTTTAGAGCTTAGTACATGTAAGTTTAAATTTCTATTGAGAAAAAAAAAAATAAAAAAAATTAGTGAGATCTTATCAGACATTATTTGATTAAGTAAAGTTTAACAATCTATAAACTCCTGATGCAGAATTATTATTATTATTATTATTATTATTATTATTATTATTATTATTGAGTATCTTGGAGAATAATTATAAATATTATTATAAGAGATTTTGTCTTGGTGACAAGTTATGAATAGAGTATATGAATTTTATTAGAGGTTCATCATCTATTGTTTTTGTTGACGGTCGTAATAGTCAGCTTTCCCCATTTTGGGGGGTCGAACCCCCGTTGGGCTATGCCTGGTGTAGAGTTCGAGTCTTGGGGAGGACAAAAACCATAGGGAGTCCAAAAATGGATTTTCATCCTAGGGCAAGAGCACTGTGGAAGTTTATGAGTCATCGGTGCATGGTCATGGCCCACCAGAAGTCCGACTCCCCAAAGTGGAGAAGGCTGACGGCTACGACCATCAACAGTTTTACTCACAAGATAAAAATACTAGCTCACTAGCCTATTAACCCACCATACGGTAGAATCAGGAAAGAACACTAATAGAAGAGTTCTAAACTACAACTACATCCAAGGAACAGGGTACTAAGTCACTGGCAGTGCTTATAATAGGCATTAAAACCATAAGTTGGAGGCCTAATCTTACACAAAAGCAACAAAATACCCATAAGGGGCGAATACGACTCAAACTAGTGAAGGCTCTACTCCAACAAGTAGAGACTAAAAAATTAAAAAAACTAACTAATAAACGCACACCTAAATTAACTATAAACTAACACCTCTCATATTCAACCCCGACAACACGCGTCCTAACCATGGCCTAGCACACAAAACAAAACCACGACTGGACAACCCACGAACGGAACCTAAAGAACTATAGAAACGGACTTCATAACTAAAAACTTCACCGAAGGACTCTAGAACTGGCTAGAATGCTGGCCTTAGTCCACAACTGAGCTCTCAAAGCCGCCAAACGAGGGAAGAAGAGACACAAGGAGCTCCGCTCGATCAGCTGCGCCAAAGAAAACCACTCCCGCTTCACTCAAAGGATGACCCATCGGCTAAAGGACCAACCCGGCCAACAGCTAAAGGGTCAACCAGGCCAGCAACAAAAGGGCCAACCAGGTCAGCAGCTAAAGGGCCAACCGGGCTGTCCCATTCATGAACAGAGACGATGCATCGACCTAGAGGCAACAACCAACAACTAGAGGCATGGGGCGCGTGACCATCGACAGCCCAAAAAAGGTCAGAGAGAGGGCGGTAAAGCAAAGTGTCGTAGACCCTCTCCCCCTCAAGTAGCAACCGACAAACGCGGCTCGAGACGCCGCTAGGCGCGACGCTTAGAGGGCCTCCTGCCTCTAACGCGGCTGGAGACTGCCTGTATATGTGTCACATCGGTAGTTTTCTAAGAATTTGACTTTTTTTTTTTAATATTAATATTTTGATGGAGTGATGGAGTATAAACTAAACGTGATTGGCTGAGAGTTATAGAATTTATGTTTTTCATTTAATGGTCTATCTGCCTAAGCTCTCTCATTATGAAACCATCAAACTGATGTACTATTTTTTCGTATATTTTGTTGTTTGGTAGGTGGGATTTAGTGAATAAGTAGGAGAGAATGTTTTTTAATTTTTAGTCCTTTTTTTGGTTTTTTGGTAGGGATAAGTACGAAAAAAGAAAAGGAAAGTATTCTTTTACCGTAATACAAGACAACTTTATTTAATAATATTCTGGCCCTCATGGTGGGCTGGTCCGTGGGATTAGGGAGCTTGTGTCTCGCCCATGGGTGGTCGAGATAAGTCATGGATATCGTGAAGCCAACGTTGTAGGGGATTTTCTAGCATCGTCTGGGTGGTTTACATAGGATGGAGCAGCCTCCGCCAGGTGCCAACTTGTGGTTGTTACACGATCGGGTGGGTGTAGCTCATCGTCGTTCGATCTAGACTATCGTAGCCTCCTTCTTTGTACCAAAAAAAAAAAAAAAAACTTTATAACTAGTATTCTTTTACCGATGTCAATTTTCATTATACTAACTAGTAAATAGAATATAATTTTTTTTTTTTGAAATGATAGAGAATTTAAATTCAATCTATAAGAATATAAAATGAATTTGATATTAACACTACAAAAAATACTACAATTCCAACGAAAAATTTTTTACGGCAAAAATTTCTATTGGAAATTCCAATGAATATTCCAACAAATTTAATTTTATGTTGGAATAAATGTTGGATAGCTGAGGAATTCCAACGGATTTTTTCCGTTGAAATAGCTGTAGGAATTTATTTCCATAGAATTTTCCGTTGGATATTTGCTACTCCAACGACTGTTTTTCCAACGGATTTTTATACGTAGGAATATCCGTTGGAATAGCTATTCCAACGAAAATATAAAAAATTCCAACAGAAATTTTTCGTTGGATTTTGTAGTGTAATTATCAAAAACAAATATTGTACACAACATTATATATGAGTTGACCTTTATAAATCAATATCTTTACTTCTTTTCGTTGACAATTTTAGAATTATTAGTATAATTTGTTATGGTCAAAACTTTTAATCACCATACATATTAAACTTGTATATTTTAGCAACACACAATTTAATAAACATGACCCGCAACAAAATTATAAAAGTCTATATTTAATTAATCAGTTTTACGCACATCACTAATATTACATGTAGCATTTTTAGTTGAAATATTTATTTTTTAGCTAGTATTTTTAATAATTTTATATTTATAAAAAAATATAATAACTGCATTTACCTAAAGGCATGCATGATAGTTATATTTTTCCTTTTGCAATGAAAAACAAAAAAGTTGTCATACATTTTTTTTTTGGTACAAAGAAGGAGGCAACAAGCCTAA